GGGGGGGGGGGGGGGGGGGGGGGGGGGGGGGGGGGGGGTTTGCAGGGCAGTGGTTGAGGGGAACAGCAGTCAGGGCAGTGGGTCTTGGGAGTTCGGGGGCAGCAGCTGGGGAGGGGTCCTCGGGACGGGGGGGTCAGCAGCCAGGGGGGTGGGTCTTGGGGTGATGGGAGGGTCAGCATCCAGAGAAGTGGGTCTCAGGGCAGGGGGGGGGGGGTTCAGGAGATGGGGGGGTGGGTCTCAAGGAGCCGAGGGGTGGTCAGCTATGGGGCCATTAGGTCCTGGGGGGGGGGGCTGGGTGTCCTACCGCTGTGTGGGGATTGTGTCAAAGGTGATCAGAGAACTCCCACACACACTCCATGTGTGATACACAACCCCCCCACACGCACACAGCCCCTCCCCGCTCTAGGAGTGGCTAGGGACTTCCCCCCTGCTGAGCGACCCACAGGATAAATACTTCCTCCCCGAGCGGCTCCGGGCAGACAGCCCAGCCTGGCAGGATGGACCCAGCCACAGCCCGCAGACGTCTAGGTAAGGAGCAGCTGCTCGCACTGGGGGCATGGGTGGGTGGATGGGGGGGGAGGCACCTGGTATGTTTCCTTTCAAGGCAGCTTTTTTGTCAGCCTGCCCCAAAGAGGCTGATTTGCTGGGGGCTCCATTCTTGGGATTCCCCCCCCCAACATGAGATGTTGATATTGGGGGGTCCCCAGAGCAGAGCCCCCCCCCCAAAAAAAACCTCAGTGGCTCTAACACGGGCTGGTGACTTTGTCTCGCTGCCGGGCGGGCTGGGACGGGCGCTTTTGGGGTTGGCCTGGGGAGCTGGCGGGTCAGTTCCAGCCGGCACTGCCTGGCTTTGGCCTTTGCCACGGCGCTTAATTGCTCGTGGGGTCAGCGCAGTGGTTGCACTCAGTGCTGTATGCCAGGGTCCCTGCCCCCCAGAGCTTCCAAGCAAAACCAGCAAAAGTGGGAAGGGAAACTGAGGCACCAAGGGGCAGCGAGTGGACAGAGGCGGGAATAGACCCCTGACTGCCAGCCCAGTGCCTCTCCCATCCTGCCGTGCCTCAGTTTCCCTCTGTGTGAAATGGGGGATTATAGGTGGTCAGTGACTGTGCTCCAATGGGGGAGCTGGGGGGCGGCAGGGAAATCTTACGGTGCCAAACTCCTCTGAAAGGCAAGAGTGTTGGGGCTGGGGGACGTGTTCCCGTCCCCCTTGCGCCTGCAGTTTGGTTTGGGGGGACAGGCTCAGCCGTGAGGCCTTTGAGGGGATCTCCTCCATCCCCTGCCCTGCACGCAGCCCGAGCGTGAGGCCCAACAGCCGTGAAAGTGGTGGGGGGTGGGGTCGGGGCCGGGAGGCAGGTGGCTGCTTTGGTTGCATGGTCCAGAGCCTCCAAGGGGTTCAGGCGCCGAGCTGCCGTCGATTTCGGGCCTTTGAGGCTCTGTCCTGTGTCGCTCACCTGTGTCTGGAGGGTAAGAGGCTGGGGCAGCCAGGAGGGGGCACAGTGCTGGGACGGAGCCTGCGGGGGGTGAGGCAGAGGAAAGGAGCAGCAGAGTGAATGCAAGGCTGGGGGCCGAGGGTATTTATGGATACCTGTTAGCAAGCTGAGCCCCAGCCAATGGAGCCCCCTGTTGTATCATTACCCCATTGTACAGATGGGGAAACTGAGGCACAGTGAGGGAAAGGATCACACAGCCAGGCAGTAGCAGAGGCAGGATGAGAACCCAGGCCGCCCTCCCATAGAAACGGGCTAATGCCCCCCTGCCTCTAGGTGGGGCGCTGTGGCTCGGAGCGCCCTGTGGGCAGGGCGGGTGGCTCCCATTCCCCACCCCAGCCATGCTAATGCTGCCTTCTCTTGTGCTCCCAGGTGTGATGGGAGCTGTTCCCTGGCTCCCTCTAGTCCTCCTCTGCGGCTGCAGCCACTTCCAGAGCTCAGGTAAGGTGAGGGCGGCCGGGCAGTGTAGGGTCCTTGGGCTCGTGAACAGGTGGGACAAACAGCTCTGTCCCCATTCCGGTGTAGTGGGGTGGGGACAGACGGATGGTGTGAGCTCTCCGTGTGCTGCAACTCTGCCATGGTCCCCAGGCCCCTGCAGATGCTGCTCTCACTCACCCCCCCCCCCCCGAAGTGTGGTGCTTTTACTGGAGCTGTCTAACCTGTTTGACTTTTCCAGCACCTGGAGGCTAATCAAGACTCTCCCTCCGTGAGCCACACATTACTGGGCTCGTGCGGGGGAGTGAGCTCTCTGGCCTGTGTCAGCCGGTGTGGGGAGGGGCAGGCTAGATGAGCAGAACTGGTGCCTTCTGGCCTTAAAACTCTATGAATTCCCATCAACAATCTCCTGCAGCAGTGAGTTCCACAGGTTAAAAAGGAACTGCTGTGCCAACACTCTAACGAGTGGGGGCTTGAGGGACCAGTTCATTGGCTTTAAAAGGAAGGGTTCAGCTCCCCCTCCGCCCCTCTCCCCACCAAGTTGTGTCCATGTTGCTGTCCCCTGGCAACGTTCATCATTTCTGAGCTCTGTTTCTTGGTGTGAGGAGGGCTGGGATCCCTGCAACGTGTACGGCAGCCACCGGCCTGAGGCCTGGCTGGGAGCCTGGACTTGGAGGATCTACTGCTGCCTCTGCCAGATTTAGTCTATCACCACACGGCTGGTCACCTGACAGCTCCGTGCCTCAGTTTCCCCATGTGTAGCAAGTGCTTTGTCCTCCTCTGTGTTGTTTGTGCACTGCCCAGGTGCCAGTCTGTGCCCCAGGGAGCCCCCCCCTTCACTGCCTTTCACCAAACCCTTCTGCTTTCAGATGCGGCTTCCAGCCTGCGCCCAGAGATCATCACCCCCCGGAAGCCCGTGAAAAGTCCCACCCTAGGTAATTGATGTTCTCTGTCCAGCTACGCACTGCGGGCACTGTGCGGGCGTGGGGGGGGGGGGAATCAATCACAGCAGGTCGGGGTAGCACACGTGGCCCTGCCGTCCCCCAGCTTTATTCAAGCCGCAGTGAGCTGGAGGCAGGGCGACGCCGGACACCGGCTCCCAGCCGTGCTCACTAGCCCCAGTGCAGTGCCAGTGAGGGGCTGGGGGCGGGTAGGGCCTGGGCCGAGCCCAGCGTACACGGGGGGAGGCCAGGAGCCCTGACTCCCACTCGCACACCAGACACTCTGCACCTGTAGCAATTCCACGGGGCCCAGCCGAATGCAGGCCCTGCCAGACTAAAGGAGAGACCCCTGGTTTGAGCAGCATGAGGGTGTCCAGGCACTGTGTGTCCAGCCCCCGGGGGGGCTCTGGGATCTCCGAGCAGGGCTGTCGTTCCCTCCAGGAGCGGGGCCCACCCCATGGGGATGCAGTTGCCCTGGTGATGTTCCCCCCAGCGGGGATGCAGTTCCCATGGCGATGTTCCCCTGGTGGGCGGGGCCGTTGTCCCACTGCTGCCAGGGGACCCCAGAGCCAGGCCCTGATGGGGACATGCCCTTGCCTTGGCCCCTGACATCACAGCTTCATGGCGGTTTGCCTCCTTGTCCAGGGAAACGCTTCAGTGTCAGCTGCCAGGCTCAGAGCCCCTTCCCGAGGATGACCCTCATCTACTGGCTGGCAAACGGTTCCTTCGTGGAGGACCAGTACCCGGACGGGGCAGTGAGCAAAGGGGACGTCGTGTGAGTAAATACCCCCAGCTCCCAGCGTGGAGAGCCTGCAGCGGGGCTGGCTCAGGGGCCTGGCCCTGGAGCCGGACCCTTCCCCCAGGAGCTCATCCCTTTGGATCCAGGGATCTGGCAGGGACAGGCTCTGAGCAGTGGTAGTTTGGGGAGGGAGAAGCTCGGGCCAAGGACTTGGGTCCCAGCCGCTGGAACTAAAGGAGAATCAGTTCGGCAGCGTCCGGGCTCAGGGGCTGCCTGTGAAGGAAGCCCCTGTGCCACAGCCTGAGCCCCTGTGGTTCACAGCGAGGAGGGGGCTGCTCAGCAGCTGAGAATCAGAGCCCTGGTGCAGGGCTGTGCCCCTGGCTTCACCCCCTCTCTCCCCTGCAACCATGCCCCTGCAGCTGTTTCTGGGGTGGGGGGAGGGTGACACCTAGCCACTGTTTAGGCCCATGACAGCTCGCCGGGGCCCTCGCTGCCACCCAGTCAAGCACTGCAGCCAGCTCATCGGCCCCTGCCTCTTCCCTCACAGAAGGGAGCCCAGGGGCACCAAGGTCCTCCTGACCCGGGAGCTGCACTTCCGCTCCTTCTCCTGGAGGGACTGGAGCACCTCGTTCCTGTGCATGGTGAGGAACCCGGCCGGGCTCGAAAAGGTGCTTGTCCGCTGGGACCCTGAACGGCCAGCACAGATCTCCGAGCCGCAGCAGGAGACAAGGCAGGATGTCCAGACCCCAGAGAGCACCCCCACCGTGGACCGGTGAGAGCCCTTAATGGCTATGGGGAGGGGGGCATGGGCATGGGCATGGGCCGACCACATTGCAAAGCCTCTGGCAAGGTCACTCACCAAAGGCTCTTAAACAAAGTAAGCCGTCATGGGAGAAGAGGGAAGGTCCCCTCACTTAGCAGGAACTGGTTAAAAGGTAGGAAACAAAGGGTAGGAATAAAAGGTCACGTTTCAGAATGGAGAGAGGTCAGTAGTGGTGTCCCCCAGGGGTCTCTACTGGGCCCAGTCCTATTCAACATAGTCATAAATGAGCTGGAAAAAGGGGTAAACAGCAAGGTGACAAAGTTTGCAGATGACACAAAACTACTCCAGCTAGTTAAGTCCCAGGTAGACTGTGAAGAGCGACAAAGGGATCTCACAAAACTGGGGGATGGGGCAGCAAAATGGCAGATGAAATTCCATGTTGATAAATGCAAAATAACGCACATTGGAAAACATAATCCCAACTCTACAAATAAACTGAGGGGCTCTAAGTGAGCTGTTACCACTCAAGAAAGATCTTGGAGTCATTGTGCATAGTTCTCTGAAAACACCAGCAGTCACAATAGGGTTACCATACATCCGTATTTTCCCGGACATGTCTGGCTTTTTGGTTCTGAAGTCGCCGTCCGGGAGGAATTTCCAAAAAGCCGAACATGTCCGGGAAAATAGGGAGGCACGGTAAGCCTAGAGTTACCTGCAGGAGCTGCGTGTCTGGGATGGTCGTCCGGGCCCGGCTAAACGTGTAACCTGCTTCCCCCCGCTGTGCGAGGGGGCGCTGCCGCTTTGATGGGCTCCGGCCGGCCAGGAACTGATGTCATTCCTCTTCCAGCCCCACCCCAGCCGGGGGCGCGGCGCTGTGGGAGCGGGAGCCATGCGGGCCACCGCCTGGCCCTGGGCACGGGCCCTGTTGCTGTGCTGCTCCCCTGGCCCTGGGGCTCCCGCTGCTGCTGCCACCCCGTGGGTCCCCTGCTGCTCCGCTCAGGCTGCCCCGTGCGCTGCTGCCCCGAGCTAGGGTGACTAGATGTCCCGATTTTATAGGGACAGTCCCGATTTTTGGGTCTTTTTCTTATATAGGCTCCTATTACCCCCCAGCCCCTGTCCCGATTTTTCACACTTGCTGTCTGGTCACTCTACCCCGAGCTGCTCTCCCCGTGAGTACCCGCCACCCTGCCCGCAGCCAGCCCTGCCACACCCCCTGCCCGCAGTCAGCCAGCCCCACACCACCCTCTGCCCTGCCTCCAGCCAGCCCCACACCCCCCCGTCTCCAGCCAGCTCTGCACCCCCTGCCGTGCCTGCAACCAGCCCCGCACCCCATGCCCCTGTCTGCAGCCCGCCCCACATCCACTGGTGCCCTGCAGTTCCCAGGGTAGTAATGCTGCACACCTGCTTCAATGAGGGGGGCAGGGAGCAGCTGGGACCCACACGTGTGAAACAGAGCTCATTTCTAGTTCAGGCCCATCTTTTTAAAAAAGAACTTTAGGTAGGGTTACCATACGTCCGTATTTTCCTGGACTGGTCAGGCTTTTTGGTTCTTAAATTGCCATCTGGGAGGAATTTTTAAAAATTTAAAAATTCCTCATGGGAAAATAGGGACGTATGGTAACCCTATTTAAATATCTAAAAACGTCCGGGAGGGCAGCTGCAACAGCAAAGGTCCCCCCCCCCCCCCCCCGTGGAGTGTCCTCTTTTTTGAATGTTCAAATATGGTAACCCTACTCAAAAACGTGAACAGAATGTTGGGAATCATTAAGAAAGGGATTGATAAGGAGACAGAAAATATATTGCCTCTATATAAATCCATGGTACGCCCACACCTTGAATACTGTGTGCAGATGTGGTCGCCCCATCTCAAAAAAATATATATTGGAATTGGAAAAAGTTCAGAAAAGGGCAACAAAATGATGAGGGACAGAGGAGGAGAGATTAATAAGACTGGGATTTTTCAGGTTGGAAAAGAGACGACTAAGGGAGGATATGATAGAGGTCTATAAAATCATGACAGGCATCGAGACAGTAAATCCGGAAGTGTGATTTACTCCTTCTCATAACACAAGAACTAGGGGTCACTACATGAAATAAAGGCAGCAGGTTTAAAACAGAAGGAAGTATTTCTTCACACAATGCAGTGAACCTGTGGAACTCCTTGCCAGAGGATGTTGTGAAGGCCAAGACTATAACAGGGTTCAAAAAAGAACTAGATAAACTCATGGAGGACAGGTCCATCAATGGCTATTAGCCAGGATGGACAGGGATTACGTCCCTAGCCTCTGTTTGCCAGAAGCTGGGAATGGGCGACAGGATGGATCACTTGATGATTCCCTGTTCTGTTCATTCCCTCTGGGGCACCTGCATTGGCCACTGTCAGAAGACAGGATACCGGGCTAGATGGACCTTTGGTCTGACCCAGTCTGGCCATTCTTATGTTCTTAAGGGGTTGGAGCCACCAAGGCCCAGCCCCTGCCCCAGTCTCAGCTGTACAGCACTTCCCAAGAGGTAGAGTGGGAGCTGCCCCATGCTCAGCACCGGTGCTGCCACAGACCCACCCCTTCTCTTCGCTGTGAGCAGGTGGAGAGCTGCTGGGTTCCACCCCAGTGACAGCTGCATGTTACTGGTGGGCAAAGCAAGGGGCTCGCTCTGAGTGCAGGGAATCAGCCTGCACCCCAAGAGCTGCTGGAGCCCAGAGGGAGGCAATCCCTGCGTGGGGCACGGGGGGGGGGGGGGCCACCATCACTCTGCAGGGCCCGTGGGCCCCAGCTGTGTGGGAATGGCAGGCACCTGCCAGCCTGGCACTAACCGCACTTTGGCTTTCTCCAGCACCGAGAGCACGGACTGAGCGTGGGGACAACAGCGCCGGCCCGCGAGAGGCAGCGATACTGGGCCTATGGCTGCCAAGGCCATGCCAGCCTCCCTCCATGGCCGACACAGCCGAGCTGCCCTCCCCTGCCCCCTCTGTTCTTCCTGTGTCTGCTTGCCGCCCAGCTGCCCCGCAGGCCTAGGGCTGGATATAGCCCCAGCCCTCTGCTTGTCTGTTACATTCCCCACCCCAGATACATTACACTGGTGGGGGAGGCTCCCGGAGGACTTGCCCTCTGGACACGGGCCCAAGGCGGCGGTAACGGGGCTGGGAAAGGCCCATGTTTGCCCCCCACCCCATCCCTCTTCCACCGCTCTGGCAGGGTCACACTCTCCCCTAGTGAAGTGGGGTGACCAAAGCCACCCCCTACTGCCAGCCCAGCCTACGACTGAAGGGGGCAGGGTCCCTTCGACAGCTGCCAGCAATGCCCTGCCCATTATATGCCCAGGAGGGCAGCACCTGCTTGGGGCAGGGGCTGGGAGACCAGCAACCGCAGGCCTCTTGCTGCCAGCTCTCCTCCCACTTCTCACTGTTTCTATTAAATAAAAATACAACACTCCGCGCTGGCTGGGCCAGTTTCTTGTAGCCCTCTCAGCCATCATCTTGGAGGGAGAGGCAGAGAGGGGAGCGGCCTTGTGGGTCAGGGCAAGGGGCTGATCTGGGCAGGGGGGCCAGGACGTGTGGGGGTGAAGGCTTGCAGAACAGAGGGGACAGGAGAGCAATTGGGGGGGCAGGAAGTGCCAGAGGGGGAAGAGGAGCAGCTTGAACGGGATGGAGGGGGAAGCCAATGGTGCGAGCCAGAGGGCAGCTCTGGGAGAATGCGATGGATGAGGGGAGGCCACAGGGAAGGGTGCAGGAGGAGGGGCTGGGGGAGATGCAGCTGGGTGAGGAGAGGGCTCCTTAACTCAGCCATTATAGAAGCAGCAGGCCTGAGACTCAGGTGAGGGACACCCAGATGGGTGCTGGTGCCTGGGTGTGATGGGGAGGGGAAACAGGCTGTGAGCTCCTGGAGGGGGGACGGGCTGGAGAGGAAGTAGGTGCGTGGGATGGTAGGAGAGGGCAAACAGGTTGCTGACATGCAGAAGCAGCTCGCTCCATGGAGGGGGTTGTGTGCCCCCCTCACCCGCGTGCCAGCAGCAGGGCTCACCCCGTGTGTGCCCAGCAAACTGCAGCCCTCCGCGCGGATGAAGCCGCCTGCGGGTTCCAGCAGGCGACGCTGCAGCCGAGAGCAGCCAGCCGGCCGCGGTGCTCCGGCCGATTGCTGCTGGGTCTGGGGGACAGCGCCAGGCAGGGGCTGCTCTGTGGGCAGGAACTCACTCGAGACAAAACGAGGCCTCGGAAGCAGCCGTCAGGAGAAAAATACAGTTTATTTACAAGTAGAAAGGGTTTAAAATTGACACATGCCACTGACATCCAGACAGCCTCAGCTGAGCGCTTGGCGGGTCCCCTCCTGGCACAGCCCCCCAGGGCTGCTCTCTGCAGTTAAAGCCAAGAGGATTCGAGACGTCATTTACTGCGTCTGTAGAAATGAGGGAGCCCCAGCCAGGCGGGGCACTGGGCGCAGCCTCCCAGCCAGCTCTGCCAGCACTCCGCAACCCCGTCCCGCCGGCCGGCACAGAGCTGCCCCCCCCCGGCACTGACCCAGCCCCGCTCCCGGAGCACACGCAGCCCGGCCGCTCCTCTCAGCTGCCAGAGACTTCGCAGGCCTCGGAAGAGCAGCTTTCAACCATGATGGGGCGGGGGGCTAACACAGCTGCTGAGGCCCAGCCCATTGTAACCTGGGCTCCAGGAAGCAAGCCCCGGTTCGTTAGTTCGGGGGGGACTGAGCGCAAGGTGAGGTGGGGGCTCCGCAGGGGGATACAGGAGATCTCAGCCCTGGGAGCCGAGTCTAAAACCCTGCCCTGCCTTGCGATGGACACGGGGCGTGGGCCATCCAGCTCTGCGGGGGTCAGACGCCCACTCCCCGAGCTGCACACACCCAGCTCCCCTGGCAGCCCCCACCACGCCAGCTGGCTCTAGGCTGTGGGACCCCTCCTAGCCTGGCTGGGGCAGAGCCCACCTGCGCAACAGCCCAGCCCTGGCCTGTTTCCCACCTTGCAGGGGAGCCCCAGCTGGCCACAATACAACCCAAAACAGCACAGCTGAGGGGGAGGGGACGCTGTCCGCTGGACCCCCACCCCGTCTGTACAGTGGAGGAAGCACCTCCACCCCCACCCGCCCTGGGCCAGGGACCCCGGCTGCCCTCCCTATGTCCAGTGCAGGGCCTACAGGAAGCTGATCAGTCCCCCACGGACAGGTGTGATCAGGACGGAGGAATTCCCGCTGGCCATAATCCTCGTGCCCAAACCCCATAGGAAACACGCCGCTAGTGCCACACGGCTGCAGTCCCCACTTCCCTCCCCCGGCCGGATGCTAGTGTTTGAGGAAGGCAGCCCCCTGCAGGGAACAACCCAAACTAGAGTTACATGCAAGAGAGACCCCGTAAGAACCCTCACTCCCCACTAAGCCAATTAAGAGCCAACGGTGCCTCCCGTCCCCAGAGTCCTAGCTACGCACCCCCCCAGGCGGGTCAGCGACCCACTCCGAGCGGTTCCTTTAGTGTTCTCCATGGGGAGAAGTGAGAGCCCATGGGCTGCGTGAGGTACCTCTGTGCTCTGCGGGGGGCTGGCTGAGCTGGAGGGGAAGGGGAGCCCTGGGAGCCCAGCTGTGGGGTGAAGGGGGCACATCAGGAGTTCGGGAAGAGGGACATGGCTGCTGAACCCCCCAGCTGGCCTACGGCAGGAGATAGCCCACGGCCACGTCTCAAAGGGTGGGGTCCTTTCCTGCGGGCTCTGCTCGGGGCTCACTGGGGAGCTCTCCCCTCTCTCTCTAGGATCCCCCTTCCGCCTCCCCAGCCAGCTCACCACCCGCAGGGAAGCGCCCAGGTTTTCCTGCCCCAGCTCCGAAGAGCTCCTCCGTTGGCAGCGTGCCCAGCGAGCAGACTCAGTCCCTGGAAGTCCTCCCCGAGCACTCGGGTACCAGCTGCGCTGCCCAGCTCTGCCCTGGGGACCGGGCTCTTACGGGAACACACCGATGGCTTCAGAGCAGGGAGGGAGAGAAAGGGCAAAAGCTTGATCCGAAGTGGCGGATGGAGCAGCTCGTAGCAGGATGGCGCCGTCGGGATAGCTTCGCCCCCGGCAGACCCAGCACAGAGCGGGGCTCGGCCAGGAGACTTAGAATTTCATGTTCTTGGGTGACTTGCGGCTGGCCTGCAGGGAACAGGCAATCTAGTTAGTCTCAGCACTGGGGGGCCCCTCCAGAGCGACTGCAGGTCAGTGGGTGTGCCAGGCCTTCGGGGGGGGGGCAGCTGAAGGACAGAGGGTTAAAGGGTAAGGCAGCCAGAGACCTGGGCACGGATGTTCACCAGCCAAAGTCTCCCCTGCCAGGCGGACGCAGGGTAAAGGGAAAACCAGGAGAGGCCAGTTCCCCTCGCTCCAGGCAGAGGGATCCATGCACGGGCCACCCCAGGGCCCGCAGCCACCAGCAGCAGACTGGCTTTGGAGCGCTGTGCCCAGCAGGGGGTGCTCTGACAGTGCCAGCAGCTGCACGTCAATTAACTCCCATGGGAGCTGGGGGCGTGCAGGCCTTTGGGCAGTTCCAGCCGGGCTCAGTACAGGGGTACCCGGGGGACGTGCTCTGGCTTGGGATCTGCAGGAGATCAGGCTAGACCGAACGGCTCCTGGCCGGGAACAACGGAGGGCCTACAGGGACCGCCAGCCCAAGGCGGGGGGTGGGGAGACGCCCTGCTCCATACCTTGCCCTTCCCCTTGGGCGACTTGGCCGTGGCTATCCTGGGGGACCGCCGAGCGCTGCCACGGGGCGAGGTTTTGGGCGTCGTTTTCCGGTTGCTGCCCCGGCGCAGGAGGCTGCTCCCCAGCTTCTTGGGGGTGTTCAGGATGCTGAAGGCCATGGACTGGCGCCGCTCGGGCTGTGGGGAGAGAGAGAGAGAGCGAGCGCCAGGCCGTGGAGGGCTGGGGCTTTGCACACGGCACGGCAGAGCCCCACCGGCCTGGAGAGTCACTTCGCTCCCAGCAAGCCATGGAGGGGACGGACGCTCTAGCCGCTGGCCGGAGTCCGGAGCAGGGCATGGTGCGGCGGCCCATCCCCCCTCAGCTGGGAGGACGCCCTCGATCCTGACCCCGAACCCCCCTTGCTAACCAGCCATGTCCCCGGGCCTCAAGCCACGTCCGCTCCGGGGGCACGGAGGAGTTGCTCACCTGCTTGCCGGTCGCTTGGGGCTCGCCCTTCCGGCCGCCACGCTTGCGCTCCTCGTTCCGCTCTCTGGGCGTCTGGGGCCGGGGGAAGCAGCTGGTTGGCTTCTTGGACTGGAGGGAGAGAGTCAGAGCTGGGACCCTGGCTGGCTGCTCTCCCATCAGCTGCCTGCCTGCTCTCCCACCCCAGGCAGCCACACGCCCTCACACCCCCGGTCCCTCTGCTCCGTCTGCACTTTGGGGGGCTGTTTAAATGGGTGTGTGCGAAAGGAGAGCTCCCCTCGCTTGGGCCCGCTCGGAGAGGGAGCTAGCAGGAGCAGTTACGCTGTGCGGCATCAGCAGGAGTGCCCTCCGTGCCGCCAGCTACGCAGCCCTGACCCCCAGGACCTGAACCCTCCACAGCGAGCCCATCGCAGCCTCACCCCTTCCAGCGCTGCGTGCTCATGAAAGTCAACGGACCAGCACCGTCCCCTGGGCTCACTCATGCAGCGAGCGGGGCAGGGCTCAGCTGGGCACTCACCTCCGGGGTGTCTGGGCCCTGGTGAGATTCGTCTGAACTGCGCTTCCTCTGCTGCCGCGTGGCGATGCCTCCTGCCCAGCCGGTGCTGAGGGTGCTGCGACGGGCGGCTGCGCTCTCGATCTGCGAGGGCTGCATGCTGGCCCGGCGCAGCGTCTCCTTCGGGTCGCCCGTCTTCATCTCCTCGTCCGTGATGACGGTCAGGGACTGGG